GTCCACATTAGATAGTGTTTGAGTGCGCCTTACGTTTAGTTAAATTTAGTTTTGATTACGTGTCGAGATTTAAACAATTATTTAATTTATGATTTTTATAACATGTTTTCAGTTTATATTGTTTTGTGAGTATAATTATATCTAATAACATGAATTGTTATTTACTATTTAAATGTGTTTTAATAATTTATGCTATTTAATAAGTTTTAATAATGATAGTTAATTAGTAATAATTTCTTAATAATATAATAGAAGTTCTAAATGAAAATGAACCAGTGTTATTTATAGACGCCGTATACTCAACTTTTGGTTGCTTTTCAGGATAGACGTCTCAACAATTTTTTTGGGTTATTTTTTTATTTTTGGTAACAATTTTCAAGTGTCCGTCAGACAACTCGGTTGCCCTGAATCAGTGGACGGTCTGAGACAGTCTAGCGTCCGTATTTACGAGGGCACGCCGACTACCCTACGCCATCGGTGTACATGTATGAACATGATCGCATGTTTGAATTCGCGCCCAATAAAGCTTCCCCTAAGGTACGCGAACCCACAGTGATGCCACGCCTACACTTCAAACACTACTTTTTAAGGCAGTGCTCTTAGCCCATTGCGCCACACCTCAGACACGTTACAATACATGTTAAGATTCTTATAAATATTTAATTATGTAATATATTAGATTTATTTGAGTTCTATTTGATTTGATTCTTTTGTGACTAAAATTTGATACATAAAATAAATTGTTATTTAATATATTTTATCATTGTGGCCATATTTGAGGCGTAAACTACATATTTCTACGTCGTTTGTGATAATTTTTATTAAAATGTTCTTATCGGATATCCAATAGTAATCGATAATCAATATATTAAAATGTGAATATCAATTCATGAGTGTTTTTGTGCATACACTGTGTCGCGAGCCCACCTCAACCAATCAAGAGTCGCAAAGTAAAAACTTTCATGCATCAAATTGCAGCGCATGTTTAAAACAACATTATTTGCGAAGCTATGCTAGTGATAAGTTATCACTGATAACTATTTTAATAATCAAGAAATATTTTATTGTTATTCTACACTATAATAAAGTTTGTTAACTACATAATAAAATGAATTCAGAATTAGAAAATGTGAAAATCGATGAAACAATTATCGACAAAATTAAATTATTTCATATCTTCGACAATATAAGTGGAAAAGATAAAAATATATTGTTTGTGACAAACGATGATATGGTTTACGGCATGGGATCTAATTATTACGGATCACTCGGTTTGGGACACAATAGGGCTGTCAATACACCACAAGTTATACCAGAATTTTTTACTTTGCGACTCTTGATTGGTTGAGGTGGGATCTAATTATTACGGATCACTCGGTTTGGGACACAATAGGGCTGTCAATACACCACAAGTTATACCAGAATTATGTCATAAAATTATTGAGCAGTTTATTTGTGGACAGAAGTTTGTTTTGGGTATGACTAAAGACAAATGTGTGTACGGCTGGGGCTCTAACAATGAAGGACAGTTGGCTAACCCAGATTTTAATAAAATCAGGAGCCCAGAAGTTATATCATTTTTTAAATTTAACGAAGTTATAGAAATAAGTTGTGGTTTCAATCACTCACTTGCGCTGACCACTGATGGCCAGGTATACGGTTGGGGTGATAATGAATATGGACAAATCGGCTGTAATAGTAAAAATGAATGCATTATTACACCACAAAAATTAAATTTTATAAATCAAATTGAAAATAATTATGAGATAGTAAACATATCTTGTTCAGTTCACCATTCATTTGCCATGACCGTAGATGGACAGGTATTTAGTTGGGGTGCAAATCATTACTACAATTTAGGACACAATGTAATACCAAATGTATTGCAACCACAATTAATTGCTGGATTAATCAACATTCAGAGTTTGTGTTCAACCATAGGCGCGACCTATTTTCTCAATAAAGATGGTTTCATATATTTTTGCGGCAAATATATCGATTTCAATTCGGACTGTAATTCAATTAAAAAAAGATTTACTTTAATCAATAACAATCAACAATTAGCAAGTTCACTTAATCAACATCCAATAAAAATAGTTGTTGTAATTGATAATAAAGTATTTGAAATTGACTACTTTAATCATGTCATTAGCACTAGTTATACAAATCTGTTTGATTACTATTCAAATCGATTACAAACAACACACACATCTATACACTTATCTCGTTTCAAATGTTATAATTATAATAGTTATGAAGAGTTTAGAGCGAATTGTTTTCAAATTTTACGTAACGTATGCACAGAAATTATACAAACAATCAATGGTAAAATATTTTTATAAATATGTATTTTTGGCAGTTTAATAATTCTTCAAAATTTACAATTCAATTAGGTAACAAATATCAAAATACAGGAGTGTTTTCTGGCCATAAGTTTTTTGATATGGTGTGTACTCTGGGCTCGGGTTCATTTGGCACCGTATATAAAATCAAATTGCCATTGATTGACGATGAATGGGCTATGAAAATAATAAAGAATGATGGTAAACTTTAAATGACACGTTTCCACATAATTATTTAAGTTGGATAGATTATCTACAATCCTAATTCATAGTCATTTTGTATACAGTAAAGTCTTACAGGTTTATTGACATTATTTTATTGTTTTATTAAGTTGAATTATTAACATATTTTCATTGGTTTTACCCTTCGGTAAAAAAACGTAAAAAATTATATACTGAAGAGGGTCATACCTGAGCGCCATGTGGGTTTAGCTAATTTAAATGATATCATTTTATAGATCATCTACAATAATAACTATTTAGCGCTTAAAATTCGGCGAATGGGCATATTGTCTAATTATAATTAGTAAAATTAGTTGTGTATATTCAGATTAAATATTTAATTTTAGCGCTTTTGGATTAAACTAAAATCTATTATTATGAATAGATTAGATCTTGCTCATTTATCGAGTAATTTTCTAATGAATGTTATATTTGAGTAATTAACAGTTTATTCACAATTCATGATTATTTACTCACATAAACTTTATTTATTATTTTAAATTACAAATATGAATGAAATATACATAAAATATTAAACTATTAATAACTTACATAAAACATTCATTATAACATTACTCGATAAAATTAATAAGTTCTACTTTTTTAATATGAATAAATATTAATTGAATCCAAAAGCGCTAAAATTAAATATTTAATCTGAATATACACAACTAATTTTATTAATTATAATTAGACAATATGCCCATTCGCCGAATTTTAAGCGCTAGATAGTTATTATTGTAGGTGATTTTTAAAATGATATCATTTAAATTAGCTAAACCCACATGGCGCTCAGGTATGACCCTTTTGAAATAATAAAGATTTAAGTTGAACTTATTAGTTTAACTAGTTATATTTAGTACAAACTGTCGACACCTTTATTAAACTAGAAAAGTTATCAAATGTCAATAATTATCTTGAACGTTTTTATCAGTATTATAAAAATAAGTATTCTAAATAACAATACATTGTGTAGAATATATAGACATAAGCTAATCTTTTCAGGATTTGATAACAATAAAATTAATCTAGATTTGTTCTAATATTATGAAGAATACTGATATTTATTTAAGCGCTCTATAATATTATGCTTCATAATATAACTTATATTATTTTGTCTATAATAAATAGGTAAAAACCTATTTGAATAAAAATTGTTAGGTAGTGACAAGTTACAGTTTTTAGGTGCTGTTACCTTTAAGGACGGCTTAAATTTACGGCACTTAGTTCCAGTGTCGCTATTGCCAGTGCCGATAGTGCCTGTGCATGCATGTTATTTATTAAGTTCACAAATGTGAAACGCGTAATCTCGTTGTTTTATTCAAATACAGTGCACCTTCTTTATAGGGAACGGCATATTGCAATTATTACAGTATAAAATGAAACTTTACATGAAAATTTGCTTTTTGTTTGTTTATAGTTTTAGGTTTGATAATATTTTTAATATTTTGCAAATCATGTGCTTATGCATATCTTTGTTCCTTATGGGAAGTGGAAGTTTTATCTTAATCTCTATAAATCCGTTTCTTAACGGGAGGTATTTCTTAAAAAGAAGTTCCCCTTAAAGAGATTATTTTAACATTATAAGTATAGGAAATCCAACAAATATTTTAATTCAGTTCCCTATGAGGAGGGTTCCCCCAAGAGAGGTTGCACTGTATAAGGAGTTTCAAAATCTTTTGTTCGCTGGAATTTGGCGATTACTCAGAAGCCGTTGAAATGACAATAGTGCTATTTCACGCATACAGCAGTATATAAAGAGATGTCTCAGTGTTGCACAAACTTGGAACAATCATGATTGCATTAAATGTTTTTATAGGGGTTTTAAATCTTTAGGCCGCTTGAATTTGGCGATTACTCAGAAGCCGTTGAAATGACAATAGTGCTATTTCACGCATACAGCAGTATATAAAGAGATGTCTCAGTGTTGCACAAACTTGGAACCATCATGAGTGCATTGCAGGTTTTTATGTAGTAACTTATTTAAAATGGTCTATTTTTGCATATTACCCTATGGTACTAAAAATAAAATTATATTTACATACAATAGAATTATATTATTAAATACTACAATAAATTCTGATAATCATCGATGCTATGTAAAGGCCTTAGAGGCCTATTTTATAAAACAATTACTGTGTAATTCATACTCTATTCAAGTGATACTCATATAGAGTATACACTAATATCAAAAGTGGGGTTTGAACTTAAATATAACTTTTATTATTCAATTTTAATAGTTTAATACAAACTATTATAAATTTAGAGGAAACTCTGCTTTATAATTAGTAACGATTATTTTGAATGATAGGCGACAATTTAATTTGGTGATTCAATAACCACGTTATAATAAAATTAATCTTTCTCTCTATTTTATGGCGATCCTGCTGATAATATTAGTACAAAAAATTTGAAAAATATTAATTTAAACACAAAATGTTGTAAATTGAAATATCGAGTTTTATCCATTAAAACTTATAAATTTTAATTTACAATATTTTACCTTTAGAATAAATTTTTTTAAACATTTTTGGGCTAACATCACCATTTATTGTAGTATTTAAAAATATAATTCATTCTATGTAAATATAATTTTATTTTCAAAGATTGTTCATAGTTTATTTATGTTCAATCTTTTTTAGTATATCACAGATACAGATTCACAGTATGCCATAAAAAGGTAGCGCAACGGTCAGTAAAAAGTTTAGGTTTGTCAGTATTAAACAAGAAACCTCACGTGAAGGTCAACCTAATAGTTTCTCACCCATTTTTATAGTGGTTGGCTTTCAGTCTATCAACAAAACGTCATTTTAAAACAAAATTTAATTATTAAATTTACATTTTAATGAGATTTCTGATATTGTCTGCGATTATCAATAATTTTATTAACATTTGACTATCTGTGTATAATATGTTCATTCATTCAAATGATTAATAATTTTTAATCCAAACTTTAAAACATAATTTTAGTGTTGTTTATGACAATTAGCTTTTCTACTTCAAGTTTCCAAAAGGTAATACTTTGAACAAGAGTATCATAGTTCATTGCCCATAGGTTAACATGTAAAAATAGGTCATTTTAAATAATTTACTACATAAAAACATTTAATGCACTCATGATGGTTCCAAGTTTGTGCAACACTGAGACATCTCTTTATATACTGCTGTATGCGTGAAATAGCACTATTGTCATTTCAACGGCTTCTGAGTAATCGCCAAATTCAAGCGGCCTAAAGATTTAAAACCCCTAAATCGTATAAATAACTGAAAATGAATGTAATAATGTGCCTTTGATTGTTGGCTAAGATGTAAGTCTCTGATTCAAACACATATCGAGTGTAGAGATAGTGAATGAAACAATAATAGCAATTATTTCTTGCATTCAACACAAACACTCACTTGATTCACATTTGACTTATTGGACAGTGGGCTGAATGAAATCGTATATATTAAATAACAAGATTAACATAAATATTGATTAGCTTGATGTAATTATAATTAAAAATCACAAAAATAATGAATAAAACAGTGCGATTCAAGTGCCGGTGATGTCAGATTTGGTATCGATGTTGTGCCGTAACCTCATCACCGGCATCAAGTTTTGAATCACTATTGTGAAGTCTTGATTAAAATAATCTGATTTGAAAATTACAGTGAATACCGACATTAAAATACTAGAAACAGAAGTAAACAATTTAATGAATGTTAACTCAGAATATGTCGTCAAATACGCAATGTATTGGTTTGAAAAAGAAAAGAATTATAATACAATATATATTATAACCGAGTTATGCGGAGAAAGTTTGCGAACATTATTAGAACTAAAAGGCCCGGCATTTGGCCGCCAATCGGCCGAAGAGGCCATGAATTTGTCCGAGTTTTTCATTTCGTGTCATATTTTCAAAGAGCTGTTGGAATGCATACAATGTTTGCATGATTTGAGTCCAGCAGTCATTCATAGAGATCTTAAACCCGATAACATATTGGTATCACTTAATCCCCAAAACGGCCGGTATTTAAAACTATGTGACTTTGGTTTAGCGGTATTACACGAGGGGTCAAGTGTTATAAGACATACGGGTTGTGTGGGCACAAGTATTTATATGGCAACTGAAGTGCGACTAAACAAAGACTACAACACAAAAGCGGATGTCTATAGTCTGGCAGTCATTGCTTTCCAAATGTTTAATTTGGATCCATTTACGTAAATATTTTTATATAAGACTTAATAATTAAAATAAAATTGTAAATTAATTTTTTTTATTTTTAGAGATAATAATTTGAAAATTTATAAAAATGATCAACTTTATAAAAAATTTGTAAATTTAGAAAAGACATTAATAGCAATGACAACACGAATACCAGATAATAGACCCGATTGTCGACAAGTATTACAAGAGTATAACCACTGGTCTATTCATGCATACTGTGTTATAACTGATCCGAACTATAAAACTATTCTAAATTGTATTAAACAAACTGAGTACAATTTTTTCAAAGAATATTTTTGCGCTAAAAGTGTCCCGAACCTAATATTACAACAAAACATTTTAAAGAATAAGAAAATTTATATTAATATTATTAAGTCATTTTACATTTTCGATGACATCAACGGACATAATATATTGTTTATTACAAACGATGATATGGTTTACGGCATGGGATCTAATTATTACGGATCACTCGGTTTGGGACACAATAGGGCTGTCAATACACCGCATATTATACCAGGATTATGTCTACAAAACATTCAACAATTTATTTGTGGCAGGTATTATGTATTGGCTATTAATGACAAAAATTGTATTTATGTATTTGGCTCGAATGGAAATTATAAACTCCCAAAGAATGTTATAAAAAAATATGTAAAACCTCAGATGATTCAATTACCTAGCAATCATAATATTAGTGATATTTGTTGCGGTTTTCATCATTCACTTGTGCTGACCAGTGATGGCTGTGTCTACGGATGGGGCGCTAATATGTTTGGACAGTTGGGTTGTGATAGGTCCGAGGATAGAATAAATATACCAACTAAGGTACAATTTGTACATGACGGGGTTGAATGTAAGATACAAAGTATTAATTGTAGTCATAATTCATCGTTTGCCGTCACAACTGATGGCCGAGTGTTTAGTTGGGGTCAAAATGACTGCCATTTGGGACACAATACAAGTGATAATTTATTTAAACCACAAATAATTGACAATTTATTTAACATTCAAACGGTTTGTGCAAAATCAAAGCAAACATTTTTTCTGGCAAATGATGGAATTCTTTTTTTTTGTGGTGAATATGTAAACGATCATGATTTTAGTTCAATTAAAAAATCAATCACAAAATTTTTTGTGAATAACAAAATTAAGCTGGATTATATTTTCACCTTCACCACAAATCAAACAAACATTTTTGATTTTATCGGTATATCTGATCATATAATTTATTTTATTGATGCGATAGATACTTTGCACAATACTTATTATACAACTATGTTTGATTACTGTTTAAGTGAATGTCAAATGACATATAAGACAATACATTTAAGTGACTATTATTTATACAATTACAACACTTTGGAAGCATTTCGTACAAAATGTGGATATTATTTAAACATGTCGTCTTCTAAAATTAAATCTTATAAAAAAGGTATGATTTATATTAATAAATATTAAAAAATTATAAGTATTGCTAGTATCCTGATTTAGGACTCGTTAACTGTAGTGATAGAAGATTGTAATTTTAAATCCAATATAACGTACAATACAAATCATAACTTTTCACATCTAAATTCTGTATATTATAGTCTTCAGGGAATTGCATTTACTTATAATGACTATTTTGAGCGGTTAATAGTATTAACTCCGGTTTGGGATGTGAACAAATCATGTATTAGTGTCAGTTTATCCAATGTTTATTTTACCTATACTTAACTCTTTTATCTGTTTTGTAAATTTGATTATATTTTAACGTCAAAATGAAAAAATTTGACTAAATTGAGAAACACATGCTATATAAGTGAGTTTTAGCATTACAAACCAATATAAAATGTAAAAACGCAAAATATCAATAATTCTCATTTAAAGTATCGATATTACCAAAAGTATTGTGTTGTTTGTCATCACAAATACTACACAATGCATCATATATTGTTTATTAATTTAATAATCAACTAAATAGAGACTATATTTAATGTATTAAACATTAAAACTAACTGATAATAACTTTTAAAATAACCTAGTTTATCAAAGTATAACTATTTAATTTGTTTATATAACTTATTGACTTTTAGGGGTCTATTATTTACTTTCAATGCAATCCAATGCAATAATTATTATTAATTATAACTAATAGTATATAAAGTTACTGTACTTTACAAATGTACTAATATAAATTTTAAATTTTTTAGACCAAAACCAAAACATTTCCAGATATAAACGCTTATACAAAGAATTGTCTGAATTGGGTTCGGGATGTTTTGGCACAGTTTATAAAGTTAAACGTATAATTACAAACGAAATATATGCGATCAAAATGGTTGATTGTCCAGGTAAATTTTTAATAAATCATATTTTTATAAATATTAGTACATTTCATATAATATTTAAATCATAAGATGTTAACAATGAAATGCCTGATATGTTACGAACGTTGTCAAACATTTTCACCGTAAATCTCGTCAAATATCACGAATTTTGGCACGAATCGTCAATATTATATATTAAGATGGAGTTGTGTTTCGGGAGTTTACAGACAGTCCTATCGCTGAAAGGCCCGGTGTTTGGCCGCCACTCGGCCGACGAAGCCATGAATTCGTTGGAGTTTTTGATTTCGTGCGAAATATTTAAAGAGTTGTTGGAATGCATACAATGTTTGCATGATTTGAGTCCAGCAGTCATTCATCGGGACCTCAAACCCGAGAATGTGTTGATCGCCGCAAATGACAGCAAATGGTTTCTAAAACTCTGTGATTACGGATTGACAGATATTTTTAAAAACCTGTCGTATAAAAGAGATGCGAAATATTTATCGCCCGAAGAAACTAATGGACAAATTGTTGATTACAAGACAGATGTTTACAGTGCGGCCAAAATCGCACAAAATATATTTGATATTCAAATGACAGGAGATTTGTAAGCATTATTATACAAATTGTTGCACTTATTTGAAAGCCCTAACGAAATGTACGCAATTATTTTGCAAATAAAAATCCTGAATTTGCAAAGACATGCGTACCTTTCGTAAGAGAGTCTATTGTATTGTTTGCTTGCACAAAATAATTTATATAAGAATCGACAGTATATTGCCAACAATCTATCATTTAAGTTATTGGTGTTCAATCTTTTTTAGTATATCACAGGTACAGATTCACAGTATGCCATAAAAAATAGTTCAATATATATACTATTCATATAAACCTTTACAAAATTTGCATTTTTATAAATTTTATACATTCTGTGTATAATATGTTCATTCGTTTTAATGATTAATAATTTTTAATCCAAACTTTTAAACATAATTTTAATGTTGTATATGACAATTGGCTTTTCTACTCCAAGTCTCTAATAGAGACTTGATTGAACAAGAATAATTTAAGTAATCATTTATAAAACTATTATTACACAAAAATATTTCGTTTATTTAGACAAAAGCTGTATTCGTCGGACAAACTTCTGTATATATGTGTGACTGAATTACAAAAAGTGTTGATTTCTATGCAATCGTTGGAACCCAAAGATAGACCCGATTGTCGACAAGTATTACAAGAGTATAACCACTGGTTTATCGATGCAATGCATGTACCAATTGATGACAAATTATGGTCTATTTTAGATCATTTATTTAGAGAAAAAGATAATTTTGGTAATCAATACATTGGATGGAAATTAATCGATCCTTAAACAATTAATTAAGCAATCAATCCTACAATTACTGAGTTGATTTACTTATTTTTTAATTTATGAGATAAAACATTCTCTCTCTCCTGTATATTTTAACCACAATTCATTAATGTTGTATCTGTTTTAACATAACAGGATTTTTTGGTTCCATTTGCACACCCATCCATTTTTACTCTACCTAATTAAATGTCCATTAATGATAAGTCAATGACTAAATATTAATAATTAATAATAGTTATTGAATTTCAAGTTATCAAGTTCAAACATTAATAATGTTACATTATTCATTATAGTTTGTAGTGAAAATATAAGTTTAATTTATGATATATGAATTTTAGAAATGAGAGTAATAATATGTAAGTAATACATTTCTTGATTTAGAAAATCATGTTTGAACTTGATGTGGCATAGTATTACCAGCAAAATAATGGCATTGTTACGGTTATATACACTATACAAAGTGACAAATATGTGAGCGCAACTTTTTTTAAGTAGAGTACCACCGGTATAGTCATGATAGGTAGTGTTAATTGCAAATTACTTAAAAAGAATAATCATAATCAAGTAATTAATTAGTTAATTATAAGTTTATTTTTATTGTTTAACAAACTTACTTTATATTATTAATACTATTATTACCAATTTGCAAGTAATGTGCAACCAACACTACCTATCATGACTATACCGGTGGTACTCTACTTAGAAAAATTTGCGCTCACATATTTGTCACTCTGTATGTGGAACATCCAAAAAGCGCAAGTAAATCGCCCTATGATTAAAAGCAATGAAACAAAGAGTTGGCAAAAATATTGAGACAAAAAACAGTTTGAAATAAAAGTTTAAATCTGAAAAACTTATTTAGTTAAGCCGTAAAGAGACAAGAGTTGAATCCATTTGTTTCGCCAGAAAAAAATGTTTCATTGTTTCTAATTATTTGGAAATTTTTTCGATTTTTATTTTAACTTTAATTAAGTCTATAATTCATAAACATTATTATTAGTCAAGAAATATTTTGATTATTTTTGTTTATTTGTTTTTTTTGTAAAAATCAATGAAATATATAATTTTCAATATTTGTTAACTCTTTAGATTCTGGGTAACCAAAACCACCATCTTAGTTACCTTAGAGTCACTGTTAGGACTTGTGGTTTGTTTATCGACAATATTAATACTATTTGTTGTAATTTAGACAAAATTAATACTTATTGTCATATTACCGGACTAAGCTTTAGATGGATGTAAACATTAGTATACATAAATGACGGGAAGGGGCTAATCAGGATTTACATTATGTGACTATTAGATACAGTATAATTGTAATGTTATGTTATCACTATTTAAAGCTAGACTAATGCATTGACTATACTATAAGTTATTGATTATAAAAAGGCCTAAAACTAAGGCAACAGTAAATTAACAGATAAGGTGTTTCAATACATGTTGATTCATATTGGCCAACATTATTTGCGCCTGCGCTCTAAACAACTGTATGTTTTTCTTCTTTTGCTAATAATTTACACAAATATAATAACTTTGTCGTGTTTTAGACATAACTCTACACTAATTGCAGACATACTATATGTGCGAACCTTTGCGTGCTTTGCGTGAAATTGAGAAAACAATTATTAACAATGTTTATAATTAATAATTGTGGAAATTATAGAGTTTATAAGAAAATTAAAATGCCATTGAAATTATAAATAAATTAATCTTATAAATAAATAGTGTTGGTCTGAATTATCGATGAGACAAAACTCGGGATACGATATGTAAGCTTCGAGAGAGAGAGAGAGAGAGAGAGAGAGATTTATAAATTATATTACTTTTAAACATCAAAACACTCAAAATCAACGGTAAACACACATCAAATGTTCAATTATTACACAAATAAATGGTAATTATAAGTAGAAATCGATTTATACTTAATATTACTTTTAATGTTTTAAAACAAATCATACAAACAATCAGTAAATCATTGATTATTNAGAGAGAGAGAGAGAGAGAGACTGCCTGCAAAAGTGCCGATTATAGGCTAGAAGTTATGTACAATTTGAAGGCTAAAGTTAATACATAAGAATAGCATTGAAAACATACTAAATACATTAGAAATAGATTAAAATATAAACATAATAGCCAAGAGAGAGAGAGAGAGAGAGAGAGAGAGAGAGATTAAATAATAACAATTTTGATTACATTTTTAAAAGGGTTTTATTAAATATAAAATATAAAAGTAAATACAATATAAAATACATAATAATAATAATAAGAGAAGTGTTTAAGAAGAGCGGAGAGAAGTGTAGAGTTTAAGGGTAGTGAGAGTAAGAGAGCTATCGCTTCAAAACCTATTCCTTAAATACCAGTAATTGTAATCTCTATTAAAGGACAAACTTTATAAGTAATACCATTGGATGCGAGCATCGATACAATGGTGACTGAACTTTGGGAACCAGTATTTTGTAGTCCATTGACCAGTGTTTCTATATTTGCATTTCAAGTGCAAACACTATAAATTACTTTTATGACAGATTACTAAAATTCACTTAAAAACTAAATCTATTGATTATTAACTCTACAATATAATTAAAATCTAATGATTATTAAATTATTAAATTTCACCAATTGAAACTTGGCCAATTTTCGCTTTCATTCAAAATATATAATTATATTTATAGAATAACGAAGCAATTAATTGTTTTTCTAAAAAGTTTTATTATTTTTTTGGTATTAAATAAAATATTAAAAACAAAACATAATAATAATATTAAGTTTTATTATCAGATATAATTAGATAATAACTAATATAATATATTATTACTAATAATAATTAATAATCAAAAACAAATAAACAAAAATTCTCAAAATATTTCTTGAATAATAATGACTTTTGTTTATAATTGTTTGTTATTAAGTAATGTTTATGAATTAAACACTTCATTAAAGTTAAAATAAAAATCGTAAAAAATTTCAAAATAATTAAAAACAATAAAACATTAAATGTTTTTGTCTCAATATTTTCTTTGTTTCATTGCTTTTAATACAAAAAATAAACCAAAATAATTAATCAAAATAATTCTCGAATAATAAATTTCTACAATAAATTCATAAAAGTTATAATAAAAGCTAAAGTTATTTCGCAAACATTAATATAAAATAGTAATTATTAATTACATCAATAATTAATCATTTAAATAAAAATAAAATAATCAAAAACAATAAAAAAATTGTATTGGTGCAAATAATAATATTCTTACGTTAAGACTTAACTCTTGTATAAACCTCTAAAACTACAGACTATTCACTCATACCTAACATTCCCTCTAATCTTAATTTTATTCCAAAACTACAATTCGTTTTAATATATTCGCCCATGTTTTGTTTCATTGCTTTGATCATAAAATAAACAAAATTAAAATAAAATATTTCTTGAATAATAAAAAATCTCTAAAATAAACTTATGATTAGATTTATAATAAAACGTAAATAAAATTATTAATATTTTAAAACGCGATGCTTTTGGAGGGGATTTTGTGGATTAACTATAAGATGTCCTCTCCATATGCTTTCAAATGCCTTTTATGCCTATTTATCGGTGTTTTCTGGCGATTAGCCTTTTAGTGAATGGCCACTGTTTTCTTCCCTCTCGAAGGTATCACAATTCAAATTATTATTTAATTGTTTTATTTTATCAAATATTTGGTTCAAAAATTGATCGCATTTTTTCTTAAACCCTTCAGAAGTCGCGTAATAATAGTCTCGATAATTGCATAAATGTATCGTTTTATAAGTCATTTGCATTTCAGATAAAAAGAAATCAAAAACATTTGTGTAATTAGTTTTCAATAAATTGTTTTTGTGATAAATTCTGTAAATCATATCATTATTGGAGATACCCATCACTAGAGGGGCCTTACGTTGTGATGAATATATGGCATATAAGTAATGCATTAAATCATTATTAATGTCAAATATTTTAACAATTTGTTTATCAATTGTTGGCTCAGAATTTGTATTAAAATATTTACCACAAAGACACAAATCCATCGTTTGTGAGGAAATATGTTTGACTGCCGGCCGGACACACCGTTTGAATGTTAAACAGATTGTCAATCATTTGTGGTTTTAAAATATCATTACTTGAATAGTGGCCCAAATTATCATCATTCTTACCCCAACTAAACACTCGGCCATCGGTTGTGACGGCAAACGACGCAAACAAATGACAGAAAATGTTTTGGATTTCATATTCAATATTGTTTTGAATAAATTGTAGTTTTATAGGGATTTGTATTCCAGCCGAAAGCTGTTGATCGCAACCCAACTGTCCAAACGTATTACCGCCCCATCCGTAGACACAGCCATCACTGGTCAACACAAGTGAGTGATTATAACCACAACTAATACTGTTAATTTTAGGATTATTAGGCAATGATTAGAGTCTCGAATTTTCGGGAATTCCCGAATAAAATAGTTAACAAAATCATCGGGAATTATATACCATTAGGTTTAGGGGTTATAATAGACCAGAAATATATAAGTTTTATTTTCCCGATTTTTCCCGATTTTGGCTTATTTTTAAGAAATTTCCCGATTTTAGCATATTTTTGAAAAATTCCCGAAAAGTCTATTTTTATGTACAATATTCCCGAAATTAGACATTTTTTGGAGAAAATTATTTATTTTATATCAATTTCATCAAAACTCTTAATAAAATGCTAAACTCAATATCAGTGATATCAAAACCTATTCAAATAATGTGTGATAAAAGGATTAAATGAATGCTAAACTCACAACTTGTGACCATTCATATCATTTCAGTTTTACATTTCATTTGTGTTTTTGTTTTGAAAATCTCAAATTTCATGTCATTATCAAATATAATTCATTTCTAAATGATTTAAATGCATAATTATTGTGTTAAAATTGAATAAAAACATAATTCCCGAATTTTCCCGATTTTGACTTTTTTATTCCCGAATTTGGATGTTTTTAGTCCCGGAAAATCGAGACTCTAGCAATGATATAATTGAGGGCTTCAAAAATTTTTTGTTTGATGTTTGGGCTAATTGTGACCAATCATTACAACCCCAGCCATTTATGGTGTCGTTGTTAGAAATCGACAAAACAAATGTATTGCCACAAATAAATTGTTGTATATTTTTATGACATAATTCTGGTATAACTAGTGGTGTATTGACAGCCCTATTGTGTCCCAAACCGAGTGATCCGTAATAATTAGATCCCATGCCGTAAACCATATCATCGTTTGTCACAAACAATATATTATAACCATTGATGTCATCGAAAACGTGAAATAACTTAATAATATTTACATCAATAGATTTACTCTTTTTCAAGGAATTTTCTGCATTATTTAGCTTTTGAATTATTTTTTTGTAAAAATATTTATAAAAATGACGATTACTTTGTTTTAAATTATTTACAATAGTCTCATAATTGGGATCAGTTGTGACACGTATAGCATCGATAGACCAGTGGTTATATTCTTGTAATACTTGTCGACAATCGGGTCTATTGAACGGTTCCAACGATTGCATAGAGAATAACACTTTTTGTAATTCAGTCACTCTTTTCCATAGAGTTTTGTTTGACGAGTAAAATAACTAACTAGGTAATGTAAAATATTCTATTAATATTTTATCAGCATCTAATAAATATACTAACATTTTATTGATGTCTTTAAAATCAAATATATTTTCCCCAATTTTGGCCGCACTGTAAACATCTTATTAATAAAGCATTGGTTAACGACTCGTTATAACGAAGTGATTTTTTTAATAAAACAAAAATCGAAGTCTTAATTAAATCACTAATTAATTGTGTTTTTTGAGTCAACTTATCGTAATTATAATTTACAAAATTAATAAATTTATATATATTTTTTCCCAATAATAGCAATGCATTCATTTAATGCACCGATTGTTTGAAATAATCAATGATTTACTGATTGTTTGTATGATTTGTTTTAAAACATTAAAAGTAATATTAAGTATAAATCGATTTCTACTTATAATTACCATTTATTTGTGTAATAATTGAACATTTGATGTGTGTTTACCGTTGATTTTGAGTGTTTTGATGTTTAAAAGTAATATAATTTATAAATCTCTCTCTCTCTCTCTCTCTCTCTCTCTCTTGGCTATTATGTTTATATTTTAATCTATTTCTAATGTATTTAGTATGTTTTCAATGCTATTCTTATGTATTAACTTTAGCCTTCAAATTGTACATAACTTCTAGCCTATAATCGGCACTTTTGCAGGCAGTCTCTCTCTCTCTCTCTCTCTCTAATGTTGTAAATATTTCTTTAATTAATTTGATATTTCTTTATTCATAATGAGTTTAAAAGGTATAAGTATTTAGTTTTTAGCAAAGCATCGGACGTATGGATGGCTCAACAGTTATGTGAGTCAAATAAGTAATAATTCTTATTAGTGAATAGAGTTAAACGTCACAATATAGTGGAAAAAATTTAATCCAGTTTTAAATGTGTGTTTCATTAATACTTTTTTCATTTATAATTCAAATCAGTATAGAATGCAATAATTATGTTATTAAATATTAATAGAAGTCAGCACTCAATGCAAATCACACACAAAGAATCGTATAACCAATGCGGATTAAATTCCGCGAAACTAGTTTTTACCAATTTAAATTACTTATTTAGCAAATATATTAACACATATGGTATGAAAATGAAACCCTGTTTATTGAGCTACAAAACGGTGCAAACTATTTGTCTCTAGCTATTGTGGATCCGGAGATAATCTCATCTGAAGAGGTCATCCTCCAAAAAGTGTTTGGGAAATGCTATGAAATGTGTTTTAAAATATTTTTAAAATAGTGTCGGAAACTAAAAATATATACAAATCATTTTTTGTATATTCAATGCAAATAATATTACATACAAATTACTAACTTTTAGTGCATATTGTAAAAAATTTACCGCATTTTATACATCAAATTTATATATAATATACAAAGATTAGCAAATAAATTTTTCGAAACAAAGTTCTAAGTTGAATAACTTGAATAATATTTGAGATATAAAAAAGTTAATAGTATCATCGTGTTCAGCGTTAAAATTCACATAAATTTCATGTATTATATGTCAATAAATATTTATTTTTTGCAAATGGTTAGCAAAACTACATATTGACCAATATTGATCAATGACTAAAACCCATTGGATAACATGGCCCAAACATAGTTTGGAGGATGACCTCTTCACATGAGATTATCTCCGGATCCACAATAGCTAGAGACAAATAGTTTGCACCATTTTGTAGCTTAATAAATGTAGTTTAATTTCCATCCCATTAAATTTATATATTTCTTAACTACTCAATATAAATTTTGAAATTAATGTTTTTGCGAGATTTATTCCGCAAAGGATATAAGACAAGAGTCGCTATTAGTTTCCACATTAGATAGTGTCTGGTTTTGAGTCAGTTTTTACGCTACAATAAGTTATTGTCAATAACTTAAGTTTTGAATACGTGTTCACATTTAATAAGTGTTTAATTAATTAATTAGTTTAAAGTTTAATTTAATATCTTAATTCATATTTTATCGTTTCCATTATTATATAATTACAATGAAATTCATAAAACAATTTAATAATAAAATATGATTTAATAATATCAGGAATTATATATTGGATGTTAATAATAAAATTAACAAGCCTTTTATAATAATCATCGTTAAAATATTTTGCTATTGTATATCGAATAGTAACCGATAATTTAGATATTGATAAATTTAATAATGTGTTTATATTTAAAATAAGATACTTTAATAAAAAACATGTCAATTAATTGAATAAAAGTTTTAAATATAATAAACAAAATGGATTTAGATTTAGGAAATTTTCTAAAAAGTGATGAAACAATTATCGATACAATTAAAACATTCCATGTTTTTGAGGACAGAGTCGGTTATAATGTATTGTTTGTGACAAACGATGATATGGTTTACGGCATGGGATCTAATTATTACGGATCACTCGGTTTGGGACACAATAGGGCTTTCAATACACCACATATTATACCGGAATTATGTCTACAAAATATACAACAATTTATTTGTGGAAATGATTTTGTTGTTGGTATAAACGGATCTAAACATGTGTACGGCTGGGGATATAATACGACGGGTCAGTTGGGCAGAAAGAGGACAACAATTGACGAATATTTCATTCCCGTAATCATAAAACCATTTAATGAAATACAAGTGCGAGAAATAAGTTGTGGAGACCGTCACTCACTGGCGCTGACCACCGATGGCCAGGTATACGGTTGGGGTTGCAATGATTATGATCAGACTGGCTGCGATAATGACCAACTTTACATTCATACTCCACAAATTATACATATTATTAATAATAATGCAAATAATTGTGAGATAAAAAGTATTTATTGTTGTGGTAACTTCTCGTTTGCCATAACAACGGATGGACTGGTTTTTAGTTGGGGTTCAAATCTTTACTACAATTTGGGACACAATATAACACCAAATGTAGTGAAACCGCAATTAATTGTTGATTTATTTAACATTCAAACCGTGTGTTCAAACATTATTAGAAGTTATTTCCTAACAAACGATGGGTTAATATATTTTTGCGGACAATCATACAAAACAGGCATTTTAATTACTAAAACACCCACATTAATCAATGACAGTCAACAAGTAGCCAGCTCATTGTATAACTATCATTCACCAGATATTAAGGGATTGTCAAATTGCATCGCGCTAATTAATAATAAAATAATATTGATTAATTCTTACAACGATTTTGTTGATACAAATTACACAAATTTATTTGATTGTTATTCAAGCAAATTACAAACAACACCAAAAACAATAAATTTACGCCATTTTAATTGTTTTAATTATAATACTATTGAAGAGTTTAAATTGCACTGTATGCAATTTTTACATAACTTGTATCGCAATATTAAACAATCAATTGATGGTATGATAACTAAATACAATACATAACTTACTTTATTATTGATATATATAAATTAGAATAATGAATAATAATCTTTTTAAAAATTTACTAATGTATTTACATAATGTACATTAATTTAGAAAACAAATACCAATTAGTGAGAGAGTTAGACGACAGTGATTATCGTGTGCATTTTGATATACTGAATAAACTGGGCTCAGGCACATTTGGGACTGTATATAAAGTCAAACACAAATTGCATGAGACAAAAGCTGCTCTAAAAATAATAGAGCATCAAGGTAAGCTAATAATGATTAGATAGCATGTTGATATATTATTATGTCGTGATTTGACCATTGTGTCGCTATTGTTGGCAATTTTGCATTGTTTCAGATTACGCTTAATGTTAATTATTGGCAAAATTATTATATTGCGATATGACTATGTTTCAATGTGATTAAATTATTGCATTTGCTAACAAACAGCATAGAAATCTCAGTTATAATATAAATAATCATAATTCTTCCGAAACCAATTTAAAATAATACAGTGAATTTGAAATGAAATGACCAGGAACACAGTGATATATTGAAAGCAGTGGAAATAATTTATAGTCTGTCTATTATATTATTTATATATTATATTTACTAATTTTAATAATAATAATAATTTTTATTTAGCATTATTAACTACAACTAATGTTGTTTTTAATTATAGTTAATACCGATACAGAAATAATGAGACGAGAAATGGATAATTTAATAAAAGTTAACTCAGAATATGTCATAAGATATCTGTATTGTTGGGTAGAAATGGACAATAAGTGCAACAAAATGTTTATTCTAATGGAGTTATGCGGACATAGTTTACGATCAGTACTAAAAATAAAAGGCCGGCGTTTGGCCGCCGATCGGCCGATGAGGCCATGAATTTGTCGGAGTTTATTATCTCTTGCGAACTATTCAAAGAGCTGTTGGAATGCATACAATATTTGCATGATTTGAGTCCAGCAGTCATTCATCGGGACCTCAAACCCGATAACATCTTGATATCACTTAATCCCCAAAACGGTCGGTATTTAAAACTATGTGATTTTGGTTTAGCGGTATTACACGAGGCGTCAGGTGTTATAAGACATACGGGTTGTGTGGGCACAAGTATTTATATGGCAACTGAAGTGCGGCTAAACAAGGACTACACCACAAAAGTAGATGTCTATAGTCTGGCAGTCATTGCTTCCCAACTCTTTTGTTTGAATGCTTTTGAGTAATGTTTAATTAATTTTTAATTTTATGAAATTATTGACGGAAATTGTAATTAATATTAATTTTTATTGTTAGCACAAACAATACCAAGATTTACAAAAATTGCACATTTTACGAAAAATTTGATAAATTAGAAAAAAACTCTTATTTTAATGTTGAGCCGAAGACCAGATGATAGACCCGATTGCCGGCAAATAATCCAAGACTATATTCATTGGTCTATTGATTTAAATTGTGCGACAAATGACCCAAACTATAAAATTATAACCAATGGAAAACAAAATGATAACAATTTTTTCTGTGAATATTTCTGCGCAAAATTATCAGAAAAGAGTTTTGGTTTAAAGAATAATTTTATTGATATTAATTGTATTAAATTATTTTATATTTTTAATGACATTAATGGTAATAATGTATTGTTTGTGACAAACGATGATATGGTTTACGGCATGAGATCTAATTATTACGGATCACTCGGTTTGGGACACAATAGGGCTGTCAATACACCACAACTTATACCAGAATTATGTCATAAAAATATTAAACAATTTCTTAATGGTTTTAATTATGTATTGTCTATTAATGATAATAATTGCATATATGGTTGGGGTTATAATGATTGGTCCCAATTATCAAATCCAGTGTTTGAACTATATTTAAAACCTCAAATCATACGATTGCCTCATAACCAAGATATCAGGCATATTTGTTGCGGTTATCATCATTCACTTGTGCTGACCAGTGATGGCTGTGTCTACGGATGGGGTGGTAATGAATTCGGACAAGTGGGTTGTGAAAATTTAGAACAGGATAAAATATCTAGCCCACTTAAACTACAATTTCTACACAATGAGATAGTATATGTCATACAAAACATTTATTGTAATAATCATTCATCGTTTGCCGTCACAACCGATGGCCGTGTGTTTAGTTGGGATCGAAATCAGTGTAATTTAGGACACAATACAAGTGATAATGTATTTAAACCACAAATGATTGATAATTTATTTAACATTCAAACGGTGTGTCCGGCACATGGTCAAACGTTTTTCCTCAATATTTACGGAGTTTTATATTTTTGTGGCAAAGATTTATTTTTTAATAACCCGTTTTCAATAATAAAAGATATCACAAAATATAATAATAATAACGATATAAATCTTGATTATATATTCACTATGTTTTCAAATCACAAGCAAATCCGTCACACAATTGGTGTATCTAATAATAAAATCTATTGGATTAAAGGGAGAAATGATTTGCATAAAACTGATTACACAAATATATTCGACTGTTTTTTAACTCAAATTCAAATAACTTATAAAACAATACATTTATCCGATTATAATATTTATAATTACAACACTTTTGAGGCATTTCGTAAAACATGTGGACAATATTTGAACGAAATGTTTGCTAAAATTAAGCATTATAATGGTATGTTATTTTAATTACCTCATAGTTTTATTATTGTCTTTATGGTTAACTTAATAATTTAAAAAATGTATTTAAAATTAAATAGTATTTACAATTAAATAGTATTTACAATGATTTAGATATATTATTTAATAAAAATTATTTCATAGAAAATATATCAATTCTAAAATTAATTATTTTATTAATTATTAATTAATTATTATATTAAAAATCAATATATATTCTGTATATTTTAATAATTTATTGTAGAAAAATTGTAGATATATTAATTTGTTGAATAACATATCATTTTATTTGTTAGAACAAAATAACGTTGAATTAAGTTATTATTTGCTTGGGCAAAAATGGAACGCGTTCCATTTTCATTAATCTTGCTCAGTTTCATACATTGTGTGGGCCTAATCGATATATAATTTATACAGTACACTGTATGAAAATTAAATAAAGAATTTTAATTGAACACCGCTAGGGGGACGCCCATCCCAAAGTTATTATAACAAATTTTACGATGAATTGTCTGTATTGGGTTCGGGATGTTTTGGCACAGTTTATAAAGTCAGCTATAAAATTGGTTCAAAGGAATACGCGATTAAAATAGTAAATTATGGTAAGTTTGTAAAATTGTGTAATAATTTTTAAAATGCAAGTAACTTAAATAATTTTTCTAATTAGACCTCAATGAACATGAGTTAAAAATATTGTGCAATTTGACAAATGTTTTCAGTAAATATATTGTCAATTATATTAGTTGTTGGATAGACTGCGATAATAATTACATTGTAATGGAGTTGTCTTTTGAAAGTTTGCAGACAGTTCTGGAACTGAAAGGCCCGGCGTTTGGCCGCCGATCGGCCGAAGAGGCCATGAATTTGTCGGAGTTTTTCATTTCGTACGAAATATTTGCAGAGCTGTTGGAATGCATACAATGTTTGCATGATTTGAGTCCAGCAGTCATTCATCGGGACCTCAAACCCGAGAATGTGTTGATTGCATGCAATGCCGGCAAATGGTGTCTAAAACTCTGTGACTTTGGTTTGAGTGAAGCCTTCAATCGCTTAACTTATAAAAGAGATGCGAAATATTTATCGCCCGAAGAAACTAATGGACAAACTGTTGATTACAAGACAGATGTTTACAGTGCGGCCAAAATCGCACAAAATATATAAGGGTATTCAAAATTAAACGGTTGTGTTTCTTGGTCGATTCCTCTGGAACTGTTGAAGTGACAATATTGAAACTTCACACATATATAGAACCACGTCGGGCAATTTTTAACCACAATTCAGAATGAAGAATGTGGTTTATAGGATGTCGACGCT